CATACCATTGCAACCCAGGACAGACCCTCACTAGTGACCCGTGCTGGGCAGTGCCCATGGACAGGAACAACAGCTCTGGGAAAAGGCAGAGCAGCAGTTTAGGTCTGCACCTGGTCAGACCTCGAATGCAGAAAACTGATGGTTCTCTGGTGCACTGGGCAAAGCTGTGGTGCAGCCACTTGCAGCCTGAGAAAATCAGTGTCGTGTGAAAGGATCAGATTTGACAGGTAGACTGGGCCATACCCTGCGCATGCAAATGGCTTTGTAATTGTCTGACTGTTCCTTTGCTTTGTTTAAATTTTGGTTATAAAATCATATCAGCAGATTTTGGTGCCAAAATTTAAAATCATACTTTGATTGTAGTAATCTAAACAGTCTGTGCTACAGCTGTTTGATAATTTGAGGTTGGTTTATGACGTCTTAAAAATATGGACATTACTGTTCTTAAAACAGAACCTGAAAATCTGGTGCCAAGATAGTGAGTTTATTTCCCTCCCCTGCATGGGAAAATGTCTCTGCTGCATCATGGCAAGGAGGGAAAAGCCAACTTCCCATGTGGGATGAGAAGGCTATGAGAATCAATAAATAAAACTTGAGGAGCTTCTTATCTTCCAGCCTTTTTAAAGGAACCAAGGGAGGAGAGTGTTTCTTCTGATGGCACAGCACATGAGTGTATTTATTTCTTAAGAAAGCTGTACAGTGAGTGCTGGAACAAGTGGAGGTGTAACATCTTTGTAGTTTGGTGATGGTTTGCATGGTTGAGTGGCACTCGCAGGGATATGGGAACTGTGATCCAGATTTAATGTGAACTCCAAGGAGTCTGCAGTTACAATAAACAAGTCTCTGAGAGTTCATGGGAAGAGCATTGTTTATCAGCTGTGCAGCAGTGCACTGGTGTAAAGGGTCCAAATCAGTGCAGGTTGCTTGCTGTTCTAACAAGTAAAACCCCAGATGTTTTCATCACATCAGGGGGCCATGAACCATGTTGGCTCTGCTGTGGAAGGAGATGGCTGGCAGTGATGAGCAAGAGCAGAAAACCCTTGTGAACTCATCCCTAACATGAATTAATAAATGGCCTTTTCTTCATGGCCAATACATGAAATTACTGAGTTTAATCCATTTAATTTCAGAATAACCTGATATTAATTTCAGCAGAAGTGAGGAATCAAACCTTTAACTGATTGGTTATCTGCTGCAGGTTGTTGGTCAGATGTAATCTCACGATGCCTAGTCCAGCAGCAAGTGTGTCTGACTGGCAGTGTAACCATGATTGGGTTAGCTGTGCTGCTTCAGTGGCTGCAACTCCTCGTTCCCTTGTCTGGGTGGTGCTGGTTCAGGCTGCAGAGTGCCTGGGTGACCACTTTGCAGAGTGCACTGACCAGGAACAGAACAGCAGAGAATGGTGGAGGACTTTGGTACATTGCTTTGGATGTAAGTGTTCTTGATAGCATGTCTCACAGTTAGAACTAGTTCTCCCAGAGCAAACTGACACATTAAAAAAACTTCTATAAAAGAGGCAAAAGGTAATTAAATAAAACATCAGTGGAGAGAACCACACAATTGTCCCAGTTAAGGTAATTTTAAACTTGTGTATTAGCAGCAGGTTCATGCTCCCTTCTGCCAGGGGTGATGGATTTTGTGTTTGTCTCTATGTGCACAGAGGAGCACAGGAGTAAGGAGGTGGTTTATGCCTTCAACCAGATTCTATCCAACCACTTCCTGAGTGCTGTAGCCTCTGAAGTTTCCACTGAGCCTTACAGGCACTCACGTGGCCACTGAAGGGCAAATGACTCCTCGTGGCAAATGGCCCTTGCTCCAGAGGTCCAATTTTTGTTGCTGCTTGAGTTGCTGGCACTGCTGAGTCACTGTCCTCAGTGCAAACACCCGGCCCATATCAATACTCACAACCAGAGTCCACAGCTGCACAGGCAGGGAAAGATAATAAAATAGAGTCTCTGATCTTGCACTGTGTGTAGAGTTTGTGATGTGCCTTTGGGGGCTGGTTTTGGGTTTAAGCTAAACTATGAGCATGAGGAAAAGATGTGCCTCTTTCCTAAAGCATTTTTATGTCCCAAGCAACAAGGGAGGAATAAACCAGGCAGGAGTAGAAGATAGGCTAAACAAACAAATAAAAAAAACCCCAACATGATGGCAAAGTTGTGGCTCTGAATAAAAAGAAGCTGCATCAAGTATCTCACAGTCATGGATGATAAAGAAAATCAATCTCAATTCTGTTACTTCCAATCAGTTCTTTATGGGAAAAGACATGTAAGCTTTTAGTTTATAAGCAGTGGTTTTACACAAATGAGAATTTTGGTAAGTAGTCACTCTTAAAAAGAGAGTTCTGATAGCTTTTAACATCAAAGCTGCTTTTGAGTGACTCTAATAAACTGTAAGAGTGGCTTAGAAAAGTGAAAATGGAACAGAACTTTAACCTGGGTCACACAAGTCATTTCACAGCCATTACAATTCCTCAGTCATTATAAGCAACTGCACTTTAATTTCCTTCTGTGTTTATTTGACCGATACTTCAGGTTTGGTTTAGATCAGATAAAAGCAGTTTAAACAACACACATGATATAAAAATATTTTCAAATGAGAACTTTTATGTACAATTAGACACAAGTTTCCTAATATTTAGTCAACACCTAGTGACCAGCTGTGGGAGCCTTACTGAATCCCAGAACACCACAGCTGCAAAACTAAACCCAGCACAGGATGTTCCCTATCACAGCAGTACCCTGCAGTCAGGATGCATTTTGCAATCTGTTCTTTTTCTTCCACTTAGAGGTAAAAAAACCCCAGGTTTGATTCTTTCAGGCATTAGTGCAAATGAGTATTTGCTTTCTGCAGAGCACCCATCAATGACAATGCTTGGTACTGACTGTGCCTGCTCATGGCTGGAAGTCTCTGTCGTCATCGTAGTGGTCCCACTGAGCTGCTTCCCTCGCGCGCAGAGCGAGCGCCACGGCCGAGGACACGCCAGGCCTGCTGGGCTGGGCTGGCTCCCAGTCTGGGGGCACAGGGCAAACACAGTTAACTCTGCTGTCAGTGTGACCACCACCCTCACTACAAACCCCTGGGCTTTAAAGGTCTCATCTGTCAAGGACTTGGAATGAGGTAACCCAGGAATAGTTCAAAGTCATGCAGGATCCAATAACTCTTTTCATTCTTTATGTGCTGATGTCCTAGGGACTCCACATCATGAATAAGCTCTTCTGAGGTTCACACCAAGATGTGAAATCTGTCTCTAAAGTGATTTAATGTTCTTGCCTGGCTCATTTACCCAAGGAAATTGAACTCTGTGATGAGTCTTCAGAAGTCACCACCCACACTGCAACAAGCTCCCAATAAGCACGTCCTATGTTAAGTGTTTACCCCAGAAACCCAAGTCTTTTTTCTCCTTCTGCAAGATCCTAACGTGCTGTGTCCCTGCCATCCAGCTGTTACATGCTGTGTCTGTACATTTTAACTGAGCTCAACCAGGAGCTTTCTGTGTTTCATCCTTGTGCTTACCTAGTGGGAAGCCACTGCCAGTCCAGCTCTCAGCAGGATAGGGATACTGAAAACAAAATTCACAAGCAGATTAAGGCCACAGTTTCCCTCATGTGCTTGTTACCTTGTATTTGAAACAGTATCAGTTACCTGTAACAAAACCATGCACTTCCAAGCCTTAAGGAGGCTTGTGATTATGAGTGTTCCAACACCTATTCTGACTACATTTGTTCACCTGCTCAAATTAATCTTTCAAATTATCCCCATGCATACAGGGCAACCTCTGTGCTCCACACCATGCCCCAGACTTCATAGAGGGAAATCTAGCAGAGACTTCCCTCTTGTGAGCCTCTCACCTCATTGTAGGATGCGTTTTGGTTCCTGTCAAATGCTCTTGCTGGGTAGTCTGGCATTTGCTGGGCAGGCTGCCTGGGTGGCTGGTATGGAGAGGAGCCTCCCTGAAAGGCAGAGTGTTTGGCATTAGCAGTCTGTATTCTGCCTTCCAGTCATGACTTCATGGTCAGCACTGCTCACACCCTTGTTTTAGGGAGATGGCCTTTCTATTAGATCCACAGTGAGATTATTCTGGCATCTCCTTTTGAAAGCTGACCTTACAAACTACAAGAACATCCACCCTTAGTAGGCTACCAAACCCTCCCCTTGGGAGTCTCAGTTGTGACACTGGACACAGTCACAGGTTGTTTGAAAACCCTCAGCATGTGGAAAATGCCCATTTGATTTCACCTCCCCTCTCTACAGTCAGTATTTATCTATATTGCCATTTCTATTTAACAATGGATCAGTATCAATTATTATCCATGTGTATTTATATTATCACATTAATAATGGACAGGGATTTGGGTTTTTTGGGGAGGTTTTACTCAACCCAAAGAAAAAACACCAGACAGAACCTGTATGTGCACATTTTAGCAGTAACTTGATGGCTCAGCAGGCAGGACTGCCTTGAAAAATAAATTCCAGTTTAGGACAATGGATTTCTATTGGTGTTGTATGGGATTTAAAATGAAGTTAGGTCCAAGCACTCAGTTTTACCTCAGCTGAAAAAAACCACAAACTATAAACTCCTAAGGAATTCCAGAGCCATGGGATTTAAAATGAAGTTAGGTCCAAGCACTCAGTTTTACCTCAGCTGAAAAAAAACACAAACTATAAAGTCCTAAGGAATTCCAGAGCCAGGGGGGGAAGGCAGCTTCCTTCTCAGCCTAGGCAAGGTTCAAGTGTGGCCTAACCCTTTGGTAACCATCACTGCACACCTAGATTAAGAATGTTTTCTTGCAGCTTCATAATCATAGATTATGTCCAGTGATGGTAAAGGACTTTTTTACATCTTCCCAGGTTGAATTCCAGCCTGGAACAGATAATGAGGGAACTTTCACAGTATCCTTCTGCTGTCTGGAGTTAATTAGTCATCAATCAATCCATGTGAGGTTTGAGATACACACATATCCCCAAGCAGCAGCCTGTTACAAGGCTGGAGGAGCCCCATGAGATCATACCAAGCCCATAACTGAGCAGCAGTACCTGAGCAGTTGGAGTGACCTGCTGGTCTGGTCCTCTCAGCGCTGAAGGGTTTCGTTTTGCCCTTTGCAGTTTCCGTAGTTTTGTAAGTAAAAACATTTTATCTTTCCCTTCCTATGGTCAAGACATATTTGATCATTAGCTAGAATGTACTTATCATTCTCAAGAGTCTCAAAGTCTTTTAGCAACCACCGACCAGAACAATTCCTTTTCCTCTACAATAATCTGCCTACAGAGGGAGCTGCAGTAGCACATCCTGAAGATAAAATTCTTCTGCAACAACTTAACAGAACAATTCCTTTTCCTCTACAATAATCTGCCTACAGAGGGAGCTGCAGTAGCACATCCTGAAGATAAAATTCTTCTGCAACAACTCCGTTTGTGAGTTCAGTTTCCCTGCAACTCACATGGGAGAGGGCTCCCACCCTCCCTGGCACAGTCATAGGAAAAGCTCCACAAAGCTGGATGAGATAATCAACAAAGAAGCCAAATTATAAAAAAGATAAAACTGAGAGTCAAACTTACATTAATAATTTGCTGTTGTAAGAGTCTGATCATTGTCCTTCTTGCTTGTATTATTTGCCAGTAAAGATAAATAAGAATTCTAAACAAAAAGAACAACAACAAGAAGTTCTACATATGAGCATTTCCTCCTAGTCATTTCCTATACAGAAATTTATCTGATGTATTTGAATCCATTAAAAGACATATATACACATCTTTACACACATACACACACACACATATATATAAAATAGATGTATACAACAACAGAAGGAACAGCAAACACAGGAAATTTCTTAAAACATTCTCTTAGGAAAGACCCAAAGATTTCTGGGATATATAAAATAGATGTATACAACAACACAAGGAACAGCAAACACAGGAAATTACTTAAAACATTCTCTTGGGAAAGACCCCAAAGATTTCTGGACTTGTATTCAAGATGAAAAGTACAATTAAATAGGTCAGCAATTCAAGGTGCATTTTGGATAACAAACAGGAACATAGTGCTCTTATCCAACTTTGTGTCATTTGCTTGGACACATGCCTGGACCTTAAATCACAACACGGAACACTTACTGTTTCCAGGCCAATCCTGGTCCCACTACAGTGAGTGGGATCTTGTTTCATTAGAACAGATTTGGGCTCTCAGGTGAGCATGGCCATGCTAGAAGCATTCAGCAGCACAGGTACAGCTTCAAACTCCACCAGTAGGCACCTAGCTTAGTGCACACAGACTGGTTTTGCCAAAATAACTGATTTCAGCCTAGGGGACAGTATGTGAGTTCACCTGAGATTAGTTGGTGCAACCCACCAACTAGCATTGCCCCTACAGTGTGCACACTTGTGTGTCACCACACCCTTCCACCCCAAAAGGGGGAAAGAAAAAAAAGGGAGGGCAAACAAAGGGAGGCCTCAAAGGCTTAGTGCACACAGACTGGTTTTGCCAAAATAACTGATTTCAGCCTAGGGGACAGTATGTGAGTTCACCTGAGATTAGTTGGTGCAACCCACCAACTAGCATTGCCCCTACAGTGTGCACACTTGTGTGTCACCACACCCTTCCACCCCAAAAGGGGGAAAGAAAAAAAAGGGAGGGCAAACAAAGGGAGGCCTCAAAGTCTGCTAATCACCCCAAAAGGGGGAAAGAAAAAAAAGAGAGGCCCAACAAAGGGAGGCCTCAAACTCTGCTAATTCCACAGAGTCTTAGCTTGAAGTTCATCTGTAAAGAGCTTTGGCATCCTAAGAATAGGTTATATAACTTGGTTATGTACTTTAAGTAGACAAATTTCCAATAGATTAACTGTTTCTGAGGCTTTAAAATGCACTTAGCAATTTTTTTTTAAGAAGAATGGCTATATCATTGCCATCTTTTTCCATTTCAGGCCCTTTTGAAGCAGGTACTTACAGGACAATAGCAGAGAGGATGAAGAAGAAAAGTTCACTTGTAATTAAGTTGTGGTAGATCCATACTACCCATTTTGAGGCAGTGTAATGGTCCAGCACTTCTATCCACTCAGAAACTGCTGCGTACATAGAAGACAAACCTCTGAAAGGACCACATCCTTCTGAAGGTTTTAACCTGAAAGTGTGAAAAAACAACTCAAAACTTCCCATATTGACCAGTGATTAAGTTAATGCTGTGATTTTGTACGTCAAGATGTTCATCAGTTTGCTGGTGCCCTTTGTTCTCTTTGGACTCTTAGAGTACTGCCATGATCTGTGTTTCATTTTTAGCTTGGGTCACTCTCCAGCCATTGAATGTCCACCCTGGGTTATGCAGTGAGAGATAAGAATCCCTGCTGCAAGGGATTGGTCCTGAGCCCTGTAAACACAGCCTTGACCTAAATGTAACAAGTCAGCCACTGTAGCACAAGCTACAGCAAATTGAATATCTGTTTTTTTTAAAGTTTCACCCCAGGGAACCATCGTTTCACCTTGCCTTTGGGGACATGAGTCACTGCAGATTGTCAGGAACTACAGAATGTGCTGAACTAAGACAGCGTGTCACAAGAATTAACATTTTCAGGTAGACTGAAATAGGAAAGTACTCTTTGCTTTGAAATTGAACCACTCCAGACAGTCTGAAGTTCCCAGTTGCCATCTGGAAATGTTTGCTCTGATGGATTTCATCCAACCTAGTTTCATGTCTAGTTACCTATCTTACTAAATATTGAAATCATGTGGCTGATAACTGTAAAGAAAAAGGAGTATCCTCCTGCCCTCCTGTGACCAATGTGCACAAAACCAGAGCAGCTTTAAAATACTGGCAACAACTGAAATGCATTATTACAGAGGTCAGCACTGCCTGCAAAAACAGCCTCTGAAGTTTGAAAAGAATCCAGAAGTTGACCTCTTAAGTTTTTCCAGGTATTTCTCTTCTGCAGACCCAGTGTGGCCTATAAATTAAGTCCAGGAACTAAGACTAGGTCACAGAAACTTGTAAGAGGAGAAAAAGTAAAACCTGATGCTACATTTAAATAGGAGCCAAAAACTTCAATGCTATTTTGTTTCCCCTCTCACTTTCTTATGGGACAAATTAGTGAGCCACATTCTCACAAGTTCACTGAGTATGTCTTGTTCTCAGAACATCTCATGAACATCCAAAACCTCCTGTTAGAATTTGCTACAGCTTTTCATATAGAAAAATGCAAATTCCTCTGCCTGATATCAGGTCACACAGCATAATTTAGTAGTCTTAAATGCCAGTCTTAAATCTTCCATACCTCCAGACAGTGACTCCAGTGACAGACAGGACTCCAAGGAAGCAAGGACAGAACAGCAGGAACATGAAGGATGTTGTCATTTGAGCAGTTCTCCAGGCTTTGCGAGGGGGTTGGCAATTCTGCATCAGACTGACCTTTAAAGAGATGAAGGTACTCCTGGAATGGTGTTACCTGCCACTTCAACTTGGTTTAAGTCAATCCCACTGAAATTGCTGGAATAGCATCTATCAAAAGTTTCAAAGAACTTTTCCTGTGAGTTTGATAGATATGCTGTAGCTTTAGAAAACCTCAAGAATATAGTCTGGCTATAGAAACAGCAAGAGGCAAAATGAGGTTCTGGTGGGTTCTTCAGGACTCTGGTGGCTAAAGTTTGCTTTTGTAGCAAAAGCAGCACTTTAACACAATAATTCTGCCCAGTTTTCAAACAGTCTGAGTTTATGATGAATACATGTCAAGTTTTTTACCTTTTTCACACAAAATATTATAGCAAATGCTATCATCTGGATGCCAGGCAGCAGAGGTGAGAACAGGATACCAATCCTACAAGAAAGGATTTATAGACATTTATATTTATTCATCTCACAGCTCTTGGTGCACTGAAAGCAGAAAATGCCACAATAACTTCATATCCAGATAGTGTTGGTTTATTTGGGAATGTGATTATGTTGACCTTGATCCTGTAGCAGTAAGTGTTCCTTTGAAAATATGCAACTTCAGACATACATATCTGTGTTCATATCTGCAGGAATCTCTTGTAAATGGAGTAACACACTCATGCTTAGAAATTAGGCATCTTTTCCAGGGTTTAATACTGAGTCTATTTCAACAGGGACAACACTCCAGTGGGGAAGTAAACAAAACTCCAGGATATTCCTGCAGGAACCTATCAGGTTTCTCTCAGACCAGGTGGCCACTGAGTAAACTATTGACTGAAGTTATTGTTATTACACACATAATTACAAAGAGAACTGGAAAGTCACAGTCCTTACAAAGCTTCTTAAGAGGTCATCTCTCAGGCATTTATCCTCTTCTTTCCCCCACAATAGGAAGCACCCAGAAACATCAGAATAAAAATGTTCCATGGTATTTCTCACTGCAAATGAAGTTTTGGCTGTAAAGGTAACACTTACCAGGTCAAAGTCTGTGCATAGATCAAATCTAAAACATTTCGGCCAATATCAAATTCTGGCAGCCCCAGGCTCACCCAGACTGTAGTTCCAATAATTCTGGGGGGAAAGACAAAAACTACAGCACAATAGCATTTGCTAAATGATAAAGCCCTTTGTAGAAATCTCTGTAAATGACCTCCTGAATACAAGCATCAGTGACAGATTATTTAGGGGCTGCATTAACCTCATACAAAGCAGCCACAGCTCATTCATTAGAGAGCACATCAAAAGCAAAACAGAATTTGGCAAAAGCAAATTCCCATAACACACAGCAGGGTTGAAATAAGACCTAAGATACTTTTAAAGCAACCAAAAACCCGAGGGTTTGTTACTATAGCAGTATATATCTGTACTAAAGTAACTATTTGTTACATGAGTAAGCATACACAAGTATGTTTGTGCTTAAACAGCTGAAATGTCAAGTTGCCTCAAGTACAAAACTGAAACAGCTTTTCAGGTCTCAAGAATTTTCAGCCTCAATCAAAAAAAAAAAAGGATCTTGTAGGCTGATACTCTTAACATATCCTCAAGTATATCCTACTTCAAACTAACTGAGGTTGCAAATAGCTGAAACCCATGCAGGTAAGCAAGTACTCAGAGGATTCCTACTGAGGACCAACAGTTTTATCACCTCATTTTTCCTGAGCTGGGGAGATTCAGTTTCTGCTCGTTGTAGCGAGAACAACAAAGATTTTGGTAACTCTCCCATCTCACCCTGAGTACATGTCTTGGTACCACCTTATCAACTGCATCGACTGTGTTTCAGGGCTGAGCTTTCAGGGGGTTACTCTGAACACATACAATTAAATACAAGCATTGTACTTTTAATCTTTCACAGGTTTAAGTGTGGTGCTTTAGCCCAGCTTAGGGGAGGCCATTCATCACAGCTGACCCTGCAGGTTTGGTTCTGTGTCCTTTTGCTGAGAGGTGGTTTCCTATCTGAACACAGCAAGAACAGGAGGATTAAAGTACACTGGCAAGAGCTATGGAGGAAAAGTCTTCAAGGGCTTCTCAACATTGTTCTGTGTTAATTTAACAAAAAGTTAACAAAGTCCTGCCTTGTAAACCAGCCTTGTTCACATCATGGGTGAAGACAAACAATGGATCTCCTACGCAAGTATGGCCACAAGGAACCTAAATGCTCTGCAGAGCTGGCAGGCACTTAAGTACTCTACTGCCTAAGCCATAAGTTATGTTTGGCAGTAGGAAGGTACACAGAGCAGATATCAGAAGTAAATGATTTTTCCTTACATTTTGAGCTGTGTTTACATTCAGTCCAAAATACTTTCTCACCATGCTGCAAAACTCTACACTTGAGAGTCATATTGCATCCTTAATGAGACTGATTGAAATCAGATCTTAAACTTGTGGACACTCTGTAGTGACATAGCCAAGAGGGGAAAAAATTACAGGGAGACACACCAAGGAAAGGCAGCAGTATGGCTGTGCCTGCTTATGCAGAAAAGATGGGTTTCTGCTTCAGACTCTTGGTTCTTTGTCACCCCACATTCAGGAGATCCAGGAGTGCACAATGTGCCTTCCTCCCTGCATGTGTTTCCATCTCCAAAGGGAAAAAGGACACATTGGGAGTACAGAATGGTACACACTGACCTCCTTGTAAGGAGAAGCTGCAATGTATTCAAGGCATGTACACAGAGACTCTGCTCAATAGAGACAATCAAGGAAGCTTCAGTGGTGCCACAGCTGTGCTTCTGCTGGGCTTTCCTCACATGGGAAAAACCAGACCATGTCTTTGGGTAATGAATAAAAACAAGACAAGAAAAGCAGTACTCACCTTCGTAAAAACTCTCCAAAGAAAGAACCAAGCAAACAAAATATGAAGTCAACTAGAACAAGACGATAGATGTCTTGGCCAACCAGAGTTTCCCAGCACTGTAAGAAGCAGAAGAGGAAAAAAAAAGCATACTTAAAAATCATGCAATTCTAACATTGTTCCCAAATGTTTGGGTATCTGAAACTTGATCAAAGATCTGAAGTCTTGATCAAATATATGCTAACAGCTTGACTAATCTCTGACTCTCTCTGAACAATGCTGCTGACCAGCTGAGACCTGAGCTGTGCCTTCCATTTTTTCCTACAACACATTGCTCTAAAGTTGCTAATAAAAACATGTTGGGCTGGCAAACTCAGCTTTCCAAGGCACCACATGTACTTTTCTTCGCTGAAGCAAGTCTCTTATCAAAGTGGTCCCTAAGTCAAACAGTTGTATTTTTGAAACTTTACCTGTGACTCTGAGGCAGCCACAACGTTAAGCCAGTAGTAGCACAGTATTCCAACAATTGAGATCTTCAGGATGATATTTCTAAAAAGAAAAAGTAACAGTAACTGCACCAACAGCTGTTCCATAAGCTCACTAAAGGGAGTGATGGCAGGATGACCATTGGTTACACTCCTTTTGGCACTGCAGAGTGTCAGGGCTAACAGGAGCTCTCCTTGGAGCTCAGGTGCAGCATTTTTCTATTGTCCTGTCAGAAGGGGAGCTGGGCATGGCAACCTTGGCACAAGCCTCTGCTAAACAGGCTGCTGGCTGCATGTGTGGGCTCACAGTGGAGGAAGGTCTGAGGGGCACCAAGGCTTATGTAGTGCTAGTTCCAGGCATCTGTTTTTAAGTGATATGACCTCAGTCCTCTCTCCACTTCCCTTCCTTTCCCAGCGAGGGGTCAACAGTCCAGGGGTCATTTAGGGATGTGACAAAAACCAAGCCCCGTGTCACAGTGCACCTAACTGGGAAGGAAACCATTCCTCATCCTCATTCAGAAATGTAACACAATCCAGAAATCTCACAGAAGACAAACAAATCATGAAGACAAAAGTGTAACTTGGTAGAACAGAAGCCTTTGGAGAAGATGAATTCTCCTCCATAGGTCCCTACTGCTGACCATACCACCCAGACATGGCTCTGTATCAAAACCAAGAGTTAGACAACTTCAAGCAAAAAGCACTAAGAGGTGGTAGCAATAAATACCTGGCAATAGTGACATATATGTGGTATCCAGGAGTCTGAAATCTCTCCAGGTGTCCAAGCCATGAGTAGAAAAATGGGATGAATGTGTTGAGGAGAGATGCAACCACAGGCAGCACTAACATGGCAGCTTGGCTCTCCAGGTCATTTTTATGCCCTTTCACAAACAGCTTAGAGAGAAAAAAACACAAACAACCCCAACATGGAGCCTTAACCAAAATGCTGCCTCAAGGTGTGCCCACAGAGAAGATACCTGGCATCCTTCCCTGAATGTTCTCAGGCAAGACACTGCTGGGGGAGGGGGAGATTTGCTCAGACCCCTCAGGTACCACACTATTGCCATAGTCCCCAGTGGTGCAAACCTTTGCAAATCAGCTCTTAAGGTACAGCACAATTTGTGCCTGCACTGGCAGAAACAACAGCTCTGCTTCACTATGGTCCTTGTAGTGAACAGAGCAGTGCTCCTGCTCACGGGAGGTACCCGTATGGAAAAACAGATCTCCAAGAACAGGCTGCAAAATCTGTCCTTACCTTAAGGTTATTAATGGAGAGGAAGTAAACACCAGTACAAGCAGCCAGTGCTGCTCCCAGCGAAGCAACCCAAGAAAGAACATGAACACCAATACGAACAAGTCTCTCTGTCCAAGAAAAATCTACAACTTCTCTGTTTACTTCAGTGAGGCCTTCCTGCAAGGAAACAATTCCTTATGAAGAATTTCTTCTTCAAGGCAAAATTTGTTTCAAGTAACTACTTGAGAAACTGAATGAGAGATTATTTCCCTAGAAGATGGGCAATTATCCTGGGAACATTTACTGCGTAGCTTCGTGTTCCTACCTTAAAAGTTGCATGTCACAGATAATATGACCAGCCTGCCTTTTGTTTACAAAATGACTAAATAGCAGAAAGGGAAAAACAGAAGAAATACTCTGTTTAGCAAATATTTAATAGTCAGAGATTCATTTAGTAGAACAGAAGCATACAAATATTTATACATAGCTTAAAGAGAAAAGAAAAACAAGTAGCTAAGTCAACTCCAGGAGTTCAAACCAAATGAAACTTAACAGTCAAGAAGACTTAAGACTATCAGGCACAGGACTAGCCACTTGTGTCACCTGTCCAGAGACTTGTATGTGCACACACAAATCTGTATGCACAAGGAAGTCTCTGGCAGAATGACTCCTGCGTGTTAGTTTTGTGTCTCCTGTATTTGATACCTTTATTTGTGTGCTGAGATTCTTTTGTTTCAGCTTCACAGCTTTTTCATTAGTTATATTGAAGTCCCAAGTGCAGAGCAGTTTGCTGGCATTTCCAGAGTATGTCTGAGGGTTAATGAAGTTCCTGCAGAAGGATTTGGCCATACTGAAAGGAAAATTAGATTTGTGAGATGTATAATGAGGAAATGTATCAAGTCTGTACAGCAGAACAAGAAGGGAGATTTGTGAATTTTTCCATCCTGTCCCAAGGCTATTGGACCTATGTCAGAGCATGTCACATAAGACAACGTGGAAAATAAACTTTAACATAAGAAACAACTCTCACATTTCCTTCTCCAAGCTGCTGCTGACAACCTTTACCTCTGGAAGGTCACATAAACAGAGGCATAAGAGACAATATTAGCAGCAACACCTTACAAAGGGAGATCATAATACTCATTGGTTTGAACTGGGATTGGATTCTCTGCACATCCCTTACTATTTTGCTGTTATTTAAAATTTTTCTAATAAAGGTTTAATTTCTGGAGACTCTTTGGAGCAGAAATCTCTACTTAAACTCTACACCTGAAAATAAGGACTTACAGAAATATAACCAGGAAATTATTACTGTTAACTGTTGACCGAGTGGAGTTTTTTATTGTTTGGGTTTTCCCCCCTTAATATAAGGGAAATAAGAATACATAGTTAGTTTACCTGAACAATAAGATAAGGAAACAGATGACAAAATATATTCCAACAGTGAAAATATAAGCCAGCTGCATGTTGTAAGATGGACCATTCTTTATTTTACTGATTGTAGCATTGGTGTAAAAGCCATAGTAGAGTACTGTTTTTTGAAAATAACCCTGAAAAGACAAGGACATCATTCAGAATGTTTGCTATCACCTCCATATGGTGGAAAGTTATCACCATCTGAAGCCAAATTAATAGAAGTGAGAAGTGTCCCATTCTCTGCCATGAAATCACAGGTGTGATTAAATTTATGTACTTACAGCTCCAGTGAACAGCTCCAGACCCGTGAATGAAAGGTTATTAGGTTCTGCTGCAATGAACTGAGGGATTGTGATGAAACTGAAGTTGATGAGGAATGAGAAGATGTTAAAATTTAGCAGCCACTTCAAGAAAACAAAATAAGAAAGAACACTTGTTCCAAACTCAGCACCAATGATCTTCAGTGTCCTGTGCCTTATCTGCAGTAGGTGAAAATATTCTGAAATGGTGTTTCCAAATCGCCGAAATGACTGAAATACAAAAGAGGAGATGAATCTCAGCAGTCAAACAGGACTCAATTTCACAATATAAAGTCTCACATTTTTTACAGTTAAGCTGATGTTAGGAATGGATCTGCCCCACCCTATGCACCATAAAATGCTTAACTGGTGTTCCTAAGTGCTACCATAATGCAAGTGTTTACTAATGAACACTGCAGCAATTAATTGGCTCTTTGGTAAGAAACAGATTCCCCTGGAGACAGTGATAACATTGCGACTAAAGTGGTTTGCTCTGTTGTGACCAGCAGAAGTTTCCAACACTTACCACTGCTGCTCCCTGCAGACACTGTGTACAGCAGGAGGGCTGAGCACTGCGGTGTCCTGACTTTTTTGTTAGTTCTTTTAAAACTTTATTTCTGTGGAAGAGCAGGGCAGGGGGGGGGACAAGCATTATAGTACGAGTTGTAATTAAAACAAGAAGCTAAAGAAGATGCTGCAAATACAGTTTCACATGTGCACATGAACAGAATTAATGAAACATGGAGATGCTCTTCCTGGTTGTTTTTATATTGGCTGATACCATGGCTCCTGTCCATGCTATGACAGCATGTTCTAACCCTTCCACTAACTCACACTAGGAACAAAATTTAAATACATTCTGTGAGGAGACAAAAAGATGGTTGAGGCCATGTGGTCTCTCCTCCATTTTTCATGGCCAACATCCAAGTTTCCTTTGAAAAGCAATCTCAAGTCATCATTCATAATCAAATCTCAAGACCTTGATATTCTGATCTACATTGCCACGGGAGATTCTTCTCATCGCCATCTTTAAATTATTTTCCCTTGCAAGATGTTAACTTTTTAAAAGTGCATTAAAAAGTACTTTACCATAAAGTGACAAACTGAAGCTAAGCAGATGGCAACCCCCACACTTGATAGGTAGATGTTGCTAGAAGTATACTGTTTATAAAACTAAACAGATAAACTTTTATTTTTACCTGATCTCTCTCTTCTTTTTCATGGTCTTTGGCATCTTCTGGATTGCTTTAATCCTTTCACTGGTGGGCATATCTGCAAGACTTCCAACTAAATCTTCCTCTGCATCAAAGCCACAATAAAATAACATTTTGGGATTTTTATACACAACCTGAAATGGATATAACAACATCCCCCATTTTCACTGCTAACTAGGTGTGGCAAGTTCAGAGACTTAATAATGTTGCCCAGAATATCTTCAGCTCCATGAGTACTCTAACAGAGATGCAAGCAGGTAGTACAAAAATTTTCATAAAAAGAGCTGCAATATGAAGGAAAATAAAATACTGACAACCCCCAAGATTCTGGTCTATTTCTTGATCACTGTTTGATAGTTACAATTCTATGATGCTACATATTGACTTTATAGCTCAACTTTTGTTTGATTTGTTCCATATTTTTAAGTGATGTTAGTGCCCAAACTTAGCACTATATATGCAGTAGCCAGAGCTGTATTGCCTGACAATCAGGCTCTATTCCCATAGTTGGAATTTGATGCTAATTCCAGATACAGTGGCTGAAAACAATCCATTAGCTGGTGAAACAAATTCAAATAAAGAGGTCAGCTTTTCTTTCTATAATCTAACACATTCATACTACACTGTGCTTCATTTATCATGGGATTTGAGCATGTTAGTAGAGTATAAAAGATTGATTGCTAGCATTAACACAAAACCAAGTTGTCCCCATAACCACAGAAAGACTGTACATGAAATTCTGGTGATGAACTGAGAACAGTATCAACCACATCATCCTTGTGCAAGATGCTGCCTAACATTTCTCTAAAATCCTACCTTCATTGCGTGCTTGATCTGTTTCAAACAGGCCAGAAGAAGTCACGAAGGTCTCATCAGGTGGTCGTCTGTTGCGTCTCCGAATAAAGCTATCTAAACAACATGCACTCTTTGGTGAGCCCACATAGTCCTGACAGATTGACTTAAGAAATACAAACTTCACCTTCACAGAAACAAGTTAAAAAGATTACCTTTCAATCTCACTACCTACGCGCAAACACCTACTCCCCCATTCTCTTCGTTCCTGGTCATGCTCGACAACCATATGCAATTTTTCAGATACATGTTGGAGAAGAGGAACTGAGCCCACTCTTCAGCTGTCATGGAGGGCTGTCATCTAACCCATTCATAAATGTGCACATTGATTATTCAAGACCTTTTTTCCTAGAAGACAGAGCCTTCTTTAAAAATCCTTCCTCTGACTTCAGAGGGATTGTTTTAGAACCACACTCAATCATGCTAATTAAGCACCAGACTCCCATTTCCCTGGGACCAAAATGCAGCTGTTCTCTCCACTTTCTTTCAGCCAATTATTCAAATACAAGTGACTATATTCCTTAAAAGCATTTGCTTTCCAGCTACAGTGCAGATGAGTTTAGCCACAGCTTTCCTTGCCTTACCTACCCAGTAAGCTAATGACCAGTCTGTGCAATGCTACATCCCAGTTTTGAGCTCGACCCTCTGGTGTGGAAGGACCCAACTGACTGATGCACCTGGTAGCTAATGCACATGGCACAGGCTCCTTCACTGCATTTAATATTGAGATCTAATCATTCCCTACTGTTAGTGTTACTTCCACTTTGAGCCAACTTCCTTTACAGGAAAGAAAAATACCTGTGCTTCCTTGTGGAGGTACTTTTGGAACTTTCAGTACCCAGACATTTATCCTCTAATTGACTATCCTGGAAATGCTTCCTTTCTTTCCTTTCAGGAATCAAAAGCCACCTCTGATAGTTAATGTTTGGAAATGTCCTGTTCCTGTGGTCATGCACGGAGTAAGGCATTTCATTGTTTTTTAATACAAATATAGGATTTTGCCAAACCAGATCTTAACCTAAAGACCATGTTCTTAAAGATGAAAAAGAGAGGAAAAAGCCCCAACAAGAATCCCTCTTGAGGCCCCAGCAAGAAGATTCTTTCAGTGCATCTAGGTAACAATTCCAGAAAAGAACTAATGAAATACATTCCAGAACCAGGAGACAGGAACTGAACTGACTCTAACAGAAAACTTGCATGATATGGGAAGAACAGTTCCTACCCAGAACATCAACAATAAACTGCTATAGTAGCCTAAACTAAACCCCAATTATGCTTTTCCAACCCTCTGTATTTTAATGAATGTAAATATCTAATTCCTATTATAGCCTAGAATTTACATGCAGACAACACACAGAGAAATTCACTATTGAGAGCCTTAAAACACATCCTATCCTGTGGGTATATCTTCCATTGCTCGGGAAACAAAGATCAGCACCTTCAGAAAGACAGTGAAAAATTCAGCTACAACAAATGGCATAGGGTAGTAAAAGAGAATTTCTGTTTTTATGATTCCTTTTATTACGTGAAGATATTCATACCTGAACCAAAAAGCTTCCGAATATGTATTATTATTTTATGGGGGGTGAGACACATGCAATATTGTGATGTATCGCCATCCTTACCTTCTGATCCATTGGAAATTCTGCGGGTAGAGGGATAATCCCGCAGATGGAAGGCAGAAGGTGGGGTGTATGGCAGTCCTGGCTCAGGCTCAAAGGAAAGATTGTCTGTTGAAGGGAGTCAGTATTATACAGAAAGTTGTATACTGCTATGGATTGTTTACAGACACAGAGCACCAGCCCTATGATCAAACACAGCTCTAGTGCAAACAATCCATTCCCTTGGCAAAACTCCCATATCTCACCCCAGTGTGCATCCTAGTGCTCAGCAACTGATGCAGTCCATACAAAACAGTATTTACTGATCTCTTAATACAACAGAAGTCTCCATGGGTCTGTTAACACTACATCTGAACTGCTTTAAAAACAAAACAAAATAGGCAAAAAGCCTCACTGCCACCAGGTACTATAAATATACACAGAGTTGAGCTTTCCAGAGCTGCAGGACTCGCTTGGGACAGAACAAGCTATTATTTGTTCCAGTGTTTCTGTAAGCTGCTCACATGAGAAGCTGCATACCTGTGAAATTTCCATATGGTCTCCTGCTTGGTAAATCCTCCTGGTATTCTGAGACAGGTCTCATGTTGCCCAGTGGTATGGACTGAGGGTAGTTCTGCTCTCTTCCCCTGTGTTCTCCATAGGAACCACGAGGTGAAGGATCATAAGGGGTTTGGTTAGAGAATGGGTTCCTTTGAGAACTCCCCCTGTGTAAGCAACAAAAGAGAAAACCCTGTCACAAAAACCCTCAATAGATATCCTTAATAATTAGTTACCTATTATCACCAAACTTGAGTACATTATAAAACAAACTCTGATACTGAGATGTATTTTGTATTTAGAACTCCAGCACCATAATTCTGATTTGGACATCACCTGAATTAGAAAGGCTAAAACTTTTCTCTACCTCAAGTTAGCATAGACTCTACCAAAACAGGAATAACTGCTTGAAAAACAAGGATACTCAAAGTTGGAGCATATGGTGAAAATTACTGAGACTAAAAAATATCTATGACATTCTGCAATAAATCCTAAAGTACATTTCACTGAAATTCATCCAACATGTACAAAGCAAAAATGTTATTTCCCTTGAATGTTGCCTCCCTGGTAACAGCTTTAAAAATTTGTGTCTGAGAATGCAAGCATAAATGAGCAATTAAAATAAATCCACAAATTGAAACTCTGGAGAAAAAGTTACTCCTGCATATGAATAATTTCTTGTGTCACAGTCCCACAGCAAAATTAAATAAACTCACCTTGTATCAATTTCCAATGTCTCTGAGAAATGGTAGTCTGGATCCCCAAAGGCTTCATTGTAATGATAATGCATGACAAGTCCTGGGTTTGAAGGACGAAATCTTCCTTATTTTTGTCTCTACTGCTTCATTAATATGTTAGTGGGAAGGCTGATTACAGACCTGATTACAAAACAGATGCACATGCATACAAAATGAAAAGAAAGGAACTCCACTTTAGCAACTTAGAAGATTCTGCCATCTCACTAACAAATAGCATGAAACTATCACTCAGAAATGGTTGTCACTTCATGCTACTTACCATTGGGAAATTGGGGCCCACCAGAAGTTGCAGGTAAAATGGGAACTAACATTCCCCTAAGCTCTGTACAAAACTAAGGAACTGCAGTGCCACTGAAGTTTTCCCCAACACTAACAGTGGAGCCAGGTTTTAGGAGCACATCAAAACTTTAAGATAAAAGATTCTCTTCTCTCCTGCTTATAGAGGAAAAGCCAAAGTTTCTCCAAGTACCACACTTGGAAAACCACAGAGGAGGTGAAGCCTGCACACTTCCTAACTAGCACTGCATCTCTAAGCCTTAGATGTGAACAAGGGACCCACTGTACCACTGCTGTGTACAGAGCTGACTTCATTTGGAGACCCATTCTTGATGAGGGCACTTGTCTCAATCCTGTAAATAGGTTTGGGTTTAGCTTCATTTCTCACAGAGTGCTCTATTTTAGTCTGAAACAAACCAGGCTTGGTCAGAGTGTAATGTAGGGAACTTCAGATAAGTCAGTGAAAATGGAACATTATATCAGAAAAACAGAATCCAAAGTGAACAGGCAGTTCTTGCAATTAATCAAAAATCAGACTCAAAATAAAAAAGGAGCAATTTTTAGCATTTGTTCTTAAAGGCACCATGCCAAGTTTCATCAGCAGAGAAGGAAAAAATAAACAATAAGTGTAAAAGGTTGCATATGAGTTT